GGAGGAATGGCCAAACACCTGGTGATTGCTAGAGACTCCACGGGTAGAAAACAAACCAGTAAAAAGATTTTATTTACTCTAGATAATCTGGGAAGGTGGAGTGGAGGAGGAGAGAGGGGAAATATAGGAAATCCTTCTTCCTTGGCCTTGAAGATAGGAAGGAATATTAGCTCTGAGGAAGGAGAACAGTTTGTCTCACCAGCATGTTAGCTCTGGCGAGAATTTACAGGGCATGAACCACTTTTGCCCATCTATCCAAGCTTCTCTGGCATTATAGACAGAATTTGTGTAGAAGGGTGAAGTTTGAGCGAGCAACTGTGCAGCTTGACTCTTCTCAATCTTCTCATTGTCATTTATGATGAGAAGTAAACAAGCTTTTTAGAAAGCATTCTAAGATAATCAACCTGCATCAGAATGAGTGATGAGTGATTATGCCAAAAGCAAAGGAAGGGTTTTTCTTCGCTCCCTTCCCACACGAGGACTGCTCTCACAGAGGCCCTTTGCCTCGCTCAGCTTGCTGCACAATAGCCAAGTCAGCTGTCTAGCCGATGTAATGCCCTGGCACGGTCTCAATAGTCTTTGCTGTAATGCAGTGTATACATACAAACATAGCAAACTAAAATAAGGCAAAATAAATAGAGGTGTCAGATTTACAGGTTCCCCTTAGAGATTCCTAAAACCTTTTTTTTTTTTTTAAAAAAAAATCATTTAACCCCCAAACAAACAAAAAAACCCCAAAACAACCAACCCAGAAACGAAACTGCATATATCATGTACATCATCAACTGTACAACTGATCTCCTTTCCCCTCACGGAAACTCCTGACACAAGCTTCTCCCATGCAACCCAGCTCAGAGTGTGAGCTTTCCTAAAGAAGAGGAAAGATTCAGCCGGTGGGGCTGACCATTACGGAAACACCTGCCCCACAGTCTCCCACCAAGGCCCCTCGCAATTCCTTTCCCTTCCTCAGACATGGTGAACACATTACAGAAATGCTTCTGAAGGACATCTGGGTCATCTCCCTAGGGGAGAGTCTCTCACTCCTGAACACTAGGTCCTGCTTCTGCTCTCGTAGGGAACCGGTGCCCAGATAATAGCTGTGCTGCAGGGCATGGAAGAGCCTTGCTGCCCTGAAGTCACTTTACCTTGTAGCATTTCCAGAGACTTAATGGCTGACTGAGAATAGTAACCCAGACCAAAGGGAGTGACAGGGGGAGGAAGTTCTTCAGTCTTTTCTGAGGTCATCCTAATGCAACCTGCTTAAGAACAATGCAGAGACACGGAGACAAGTGAGTGAGCACTAGACCTCTAGGGACAAGGTCTGAAGAGTTAGAAAGCATCTCCTCTTCCAAGTGTGAAGAGCTTCATTACAAAGCTAGCAATGCCTACATTTCTTCAGGAAGCAGAACAAGCCCTCTATTATACCCTTCTTTCTCACATCTCCTGCTCCTCTACTTATTTCTGAAGACAGAGTGTTTTGACTTAAAATGCTTGTGCCAGGCACAGGTGCAAGGACAACAGCAGACCCTAACTCTTCTCCAGCTCTCAGTGCAATAAAGAGGTTATGCCTCAATGTTATGCATCATGACTGCTTCCTATTCCTGCTTAGGCTCTGCTAGCACTAGAGAGCAAGGAATAAGACTTTTCTTTCTCCTTCAGCACTTGGAAACTCTACCACAACTGCTGATGAAGAACAGAGCATAGATGCACCCACAGTACCCAAGAGATGAGAAAAAAGAACAAACTTGGCTTTGGCAAGAATCTGACACCAGGCTCTAGAGCCAACTTTTTTCCTTATCTTCTGTGTGGCCAGCCTCATCTCACACAGTAGACCTATTAATGGGCCTCTCTGCTTGTCACCACTTATATGAAATCACTGCTTGCCTCAGTGTGCAACCGAGTTTTTCCAAAACCCTCTTTAGGAATATTCACCATGGAGTCAAGAGCCAAGGGGACTGTCTAGCATGCTGAACAAAGCCTTTAGCCAGCATCACAGATTCAAAACAGGAGTCTAGGGCTCTAGAACACTGAGAAAGTTGAGCTGCAACGACTCCGAGCTTTCTTTCAGTCCCAGCAAGTACCCCACAGCTGATTTATAGGAGTTGTGCAATCTCTCATTAATTGTGTATGAGTCAAGGAGGTGGTAAAACTACAGCAGCTTTCTTTGACTGTCAGTGTGGCCGGAGTGCCGCGTACCATCATCCAGGATCTCTTTAACTTGAGGTTGAACTGTGTACACAAGTGGACAGAGGGCTTATCCCTCATTTTCTCTGCTTTTGCTACATTTGTGGCCTGGCAAAGTGACTTCAGTTTCAAAAAGCACAGCACAAACCTGGTTTGACAAATACCGGGGAGGGGAATGATGTATTTATATTCAAGGTTTTTGCCCTGAGGTGTTTATTCTCTGACAGCACTGCCATGCTGACAGTCTGCCTTATCAAACAAGTACCTGGGGAGCAAGCAAGCAGCTGTAAATTGGACAGAGCCATGAGTCACATCATCCTGCACCAGGGCTGACCTTGGCACTACACCTGAATTTCTGAGTGAGTCCTAAACCCAGGGAGAACAAAGAGGGGGGGGAGGAAAAACCTACAATGTTCTAATCCCTAAAAGCATCATCTTTGGAATTCAGGGATTATACAAATCTAGACTCGACTATATACCAATTTGGCACATATTACCACCTCTCATATGGCTTACATGGCATAGGTTACATGGCATGCTTTAAAACGAGACAAACAAAAAGGGCTGGGATATAGCATGTCTACTTCAGGGAGCGGCAAGGAGCTTGTTAATATAATTTACAGGAGACATTTCTAAAAATTCATTTTGTAATTTAAAATAAAAATGCTTTAAAAAGTGAGAGTTTTTCTTAAATTTTCAAAATCCTTTATGAAATACAGTCTTTCTTCTACAAGGTGCTTGTGTCCACTGCGACGAGCATTGCTGTTAATAGCTAATCCCAGAAAGGGAATGGGAGAGTAAGGGAGGAGAATGCACCCAGCTCTTGTAAGATACCAGCTCTTCACGATGAGTATTATACAGAGGCGCGGCAGTCTGGAATGTCGTAAATAGGGAAATTCTGGGGTGGGAGACTCAAAATTCAGTAAACAATGAAACATTAGAGTTTAACAATTCTGACTTTTTTGTGGTGTTTTTTTTTTTTTTTCCATAGTTTACATAATTACTTTACTCTCAAAGTGTTCAGAAAACCACCACAGTTTGCTTCTCCAATATTGGTAGTGTGTAATACTGATCAGGCAGCGTGCATGGCAGAGGAAGTTCTGTTCTGTAGACTCGGCGCAGAGCCTTAGGTTAAGTGACATTCAGAGAAAAATCAAAACAAATTATTAAAGTGACAAATAGAGCTTTTTTGACTTCCCTGGGATTCCTTGACATTTTGTGCTGTTGACTATTGATGCATAGTTTGCAGATGGTGGGTCCCTCTTCTCAAACGTTCTCTCTTTTCTTCCTGTATAGGAGGAAGAATCCATCACCATTTCTTTCTTTTCCTCCTCCAGGGAAGATAATAAAAAAAAGAAGAAAAGATTTTTTTTAAAAAGAAAGCCCATGACAGCCCACACAATCCAATCCCTTTCTTAGAGCCATGAAGACGCACAGAATTCAGGTCTCCTCTTGGGGTTCTTGGATTTTTTTTTGCTGTGTGCTTCATAAATGTAGCTTAAATACAAAATCACTTTTTTCCTATGAATTAAGCCATCTCCAAAGCCTCCTTGGCTTACACAATTCTGTGTCCTCCTGGAAAAATTCTCAGTTTTCTTTATGGGACCTTCTGTTGGTTTATCCCAAGTGATCCCTTCAAAATGAAAAAAGGCTGTGGGCTCCAAGGCTCTTCTTTGACACTCTTCATATCTTAATGAGTTATGTGGTTCCTGTAGGTAGGAGTGGGGTGTGGACAGTGAAGGTCAGCCTGTTAGACAGAAAGACCAGTTCATGCCAACAGCAATCACAGCTAGCATCAAGTGGAAGAGAAATCTCATTTCTTGCAGTGAGTGACCCTGTTTGCTTTTTGCTACTTGTGACCTGTGGATGACACTAGGGAGCTCCTGATTTCCATTGGGCTGCACTAAGAAATCTTGTACAAACAGGTAAGAAATGTTCCACTGTTCCCCTCCCACTCTCCAGCAATGACAACAGGCTCCACCATCATCTACTTGTAATCCTAACCAGGCAGTGGCTTAGTTTTCTAAAGAAAAGACAGAGCTTCTTTCCTAGAAGATGCATTTCATAGCTTCAAGGCTCAACCATCAGCAAATTCCAGAAAACCGCTTCTAGAAAAGCAGAATCCAAAAGACTTTTCCAAAATGTTTTATGTTGATCCTGATTCTTGAATTTCAATTTGTTCCAGAACCTGATTATTTCCATCTGAGCATCACTTGCTTTGGACAGTATAGGCCACACAAAAATACAGAACATGAGAATAAAAGCATTTTTCAGGTGCTAATCAATGGCTTGTAAAATCCAATTCTGGAAATGAATTGGAAACCTTGAGAACCACATCTTGACAAGCCCCTGAAGGCCAGTCTAGATCTTGAAGAAGAGACAGGTGTTTACAGAGCTGCTCTGAAATTAGTCTTGCTTATTATCAGCAAAATGGAGATCGTGACTAGTTTTTACTTTGGCACACAGAAAATTATCTTCCTCCAGCTGTGAGGCAGTCTGCAAGGCCGAAGTACTTTCTGTCATCACCATGAGGCCTGTGATGACACAATAAATTTCCAGAAGGAAATCTGTCAGCTCTGCATGGCCCAGTCACAGGACCTGCTGGCTCCTCAGAGGCACTTTTATAACAGTTCAAATTAGGAGCACAGAAGAGGGATGAGAGGAAAGCTGATCATGGAAAGGTAACGTCTCTAGCTACAGATCAAAGAAATCCTTTGGAGTAGCTGTCAGCCAGGTGCCATCGCACACATTCATTTTCCTTGTTTTGCACTTTTTCGTCACCTTCTTTTGGTTGATTATTTTTCTTCCTCTTGTAATCAATAATTTAGCTTTGTCACCACCCGCTCCCGGCTTGTCTCTAAGCCTTGGTTCCCCGAACGCTTGCGGTTACGCTTGAGCTTGGATAAGTCTTTGTCGAAGACTTCACCCGACCTTAATGCTGACACCAGGTCATCAAACTCTCCACTCTCTTCAGAGATGCTTCCAGCTTTTGCTTTCTTTTGTCGCCTTTCTTTTTCCCTCTGCTCTTTTAGCTGTGGAGAAAGACACAGAGCTTTAGGATTAGCTAACTGAGACACCAGATCACTAGGTACACTGCCAAGAAGTGGCTAAGATGTGTCAGTACAGTTTAGGGAAAAAAGAGATCAGCAGCTTATCCACAAACCATCAACTGTGCCAAGGTCAACAGGTGACCATGCTGGGCTTCCCTTCTTCTGCATAGGCAAGCAGAAAGCAGGAGAAAAGAGGAATGAGTAGCATCATATGTTTGCCTCACAAAGCACTACCACCCTGGAGCACAGAGGACATCCAGAATCTGTCTATGCTGCTGCTGTTTTGCACTAATTTTACAGTTGGGTAGTGCCAGCAAAGTAGCTGTGCCAAATGACAGTCTGCAACTGATGCTGACACAGGTGATTACTCAGCTTCTGAGACCAGGCTTGCAATGACCTTAGTTTGGCAGCACCTACTATGCTGACAATACCTAACCTAGAGAGTTTAAAGTTAGTTTGGATGTGTCTATACAAACTACAGTCACTACTATAGTCACAAACAGTTTTGCACTTGGGGCATAGCTAGCTAAACTGACAGGCAGAAAGGCTGCAGTGCTGCAGAAGGAGGAAAGGAAGAAAAGAAAAACCCCAGAAAGCCACAAGCTAAACATACTGAAGAATGAAAATTGTTTGAGATACCAAAACATCAACAGAAACTTTATCCACCAAACAGCTCATGTTTGGATGGAGGCAGCTTGTGGCGGGAATGGGATGAGGAAGGCACACTGCCTCAACTCTGGAGAGAGAAACTGGATATAAACACAAAGAGCAATGAAACAGAACTGCTGATTTTACAAATCATTTGGATAGGTTCATCTGTCAACATGATGCCTTTGGTCTCCCTAGGGTAGCTCCAGAGAGCTTGGTTATGCCCCCACATTGCCCAGCTCCAAGATTAGTGGAAATGGCAAGGCATGGATGCGGCTGCCAGGAAGCAGGTCACTCACTCTGTGCACTAGTCCTGCGTTGCAGGAAGACTCTTTCCGTTAGCAAACTGCAACCTCTCTCATGGTGTATTAGGCCAACTAAACCATCCTTGTGCTTCAACAGCGGATTCCTGCACTTTCCAGGCTGGCTGAGAGGAAACTCGAGCCTAAGTCTTGCATTTTATCCCTGTGTCCAACAGTAAGTCTGCTGGCATCCTGATGCTTTACCTCTCTCCTCTTCTGAAATGCACAGATCAGTGCTTTTGGCACAACAAACATTTAAAGCAGCAACTCCCTGCAGTGGGGCCCGGGGCTGTGGCGGCAGCTGAGGCTGAAGCACTGGCTGAGGTTAGAGAGGGAGGCTGGTTCACATGAACCCCTGGGGACACACACGTCTGTCTCCCAGCAGCAAAATCAACGATGCACAAAACCTCTCTGGCCACGTCGAGCCAGACACAGCCGCAGTAATCAAGGCATTAAGGCTGGCCAGAGAGAAACACTGCCAGCGCGGCTGCAGCGGGTGCCAGGGTGTTCACTGTGTCACCGTGTGCTGTCAGGCGACAGGCACACAGCAGGTGGTGATGGAGTCTGAGTGGAAGCTGAGCAGCTGGCAGGACCGAGGGAAATCTGTTTCCTAGAGCTTTTGCACAGAGCCTGCAGCCTGAAAGCAAAATGGTCTGGCACTGGGCAGAGGCAGTACCATGTACCATCCTGCAAAGTGCCGGGGCAGAACAGGTAAGGCAAGATCTGGTATCCAAATCCAAAGAGGGTAATTTAGGAGCCAAACAGTGTGCCCTTGAGAGCTGACAGAACAGCCAGCAGGAAAAATATCATTTGTGAAGAGAACGATGCCAAAGAGAGGTGGCAGGAAGAAGGACAAAAAACAGTGACAGGACACGGGCTTTGGAATTGGCGTGCTCAGCCTTTCTCTCTTGAGACATGAAAAGGCAATGGAAGGAAACACTTTCCTGTGCCCAGGTCCTCACCATGGCCTCCATGCGTGCCCTGCGCTCCTCTTCTTCCTTTTTCTTCCTCATATTCTCCAGATCTTGCTTGGCCTCTGCAAACGACTGCAAGAAAGTGTCGAAGATGCCAAAAAATTCATCTGGCTGCATCTTGCCCTCGCTCTCTCCGAAATGCTTCAGTGCCTTGGCATACTGTCAAGGGGGCAGAAAACACAAGAGCAACAGTTAGGCAGGCAGTTTAGTGAAGACAGTGAGGAAAGCTTATGAGTAACTGCACATGTAATTCAATACCCTCTGAGCACTCATGTGGTGAGTGCAGAAACTATCCCCCAGTTATAGAAGTGCCTCTCCTTAAGGCAGGTGCCTCTGACCCTGAAGAATCTGCTTTCCTGGATATCCTTTAGGCAAAATGGGGTAACAGTGCTGGAGACCACTAGCTGTCCATTTATACAAAAAAAACATGTTCAGTGCCTTAGGGTGATGAAGTAATTTCAGAGGACGACTGTCTGGCCACATCTTAGCTGCAGCTGTGGGACAGCAGGGCACAGGAGACAGTGAGCTAGCTGGGGAAACAAATAGTTTTAGTCCATCCTAACTACCAAACAAGTAATTTTATCCCATCCTTTCCCCTTCCACCTTCCACTCAAGTCCGCTTTTAAAATGTCTGGAGTTAGAGAGGTTTTTTACAATAACATTACGGTCTGTCCTCTCCAGGAGACTCGGGAGTCCTCTGAGTCAGGATGCTGCCTGGGAGAGAGGAGACTATGGACAGACATGGCATGAGAGAGGGGCAAGGAAAGCAGTCAGAGCTCCTGGGCAAACTTAAAAGAGAGTGAATACATCACAAGTGGCTTTTATTTTAAAAGGCAAATGTTGAGGCTGCAGGACACATGTGGAGGCAGCCAACTGGCAGGACTTCAGTCACAGGGCAGTCCTGATTGGGATATGGTAAATTCACAGCAACCCCTGGCTCTTGGACATCAGTCCTGCAGTCGTTGTACTCTCTTCTTTGCTCTCTCTCACTCAGAAACACGTCTCTGTCCTCACCAAAATGCACTCAAATGCATGCACATACAGTCTGTCAACAGCATGCCACACATGTCCACTTATAGTGGATACATCCAAAAGCTATATCATTTTCCAGCACCTTCACTCACACACCTCTGTACCTCAACAGGCAGCACTAGCAACGTGTTCCTGACAGCACTGGTGCTCTGATGCACAGCTCCCCTAGCATTCCCTGCTTGTGCTTAAACACACCACCACTGAACAGCAGAGCATCCTTACAGACTTCAATGTTTATCAGACCAAACCAGACTCTCCCAGGCTAAGGACTGACTTGTGCATGTATTCAGCTCATACTAACACAGCCCAGCTTCCCTTTCCTTGGATGGGTGCTCTTGCAGAATGGAAAGACAGTAAGAACAGTTCAGGCTCCAATCCCAAGCACAAAATGAGTTTGGAAGCAGGTCTTACAAACCCCTCTGGCCCTGTACCAGCTAAAGCATAAACAATGTCTCCCAGTCAACTGCAGGGGGAAGAAATCTCCAAGGAAAGCAGCTTCCTTCTGGCACAGGCTGAGATTCGGCATCTTTCCTCCTCTGCTTTTCCTGCCAGGCCCACAAAGCAGTTTGAAGCAATAACTTCTTTTTTCTTTAAAAAGGCTGCATTCTCAGCCAGAAACAAACAAAGAAACCCAAAGTATATGGGGAAGAAAAAAAAAAGTGTTGGAAGAAATGCAAATTGCTTTGAGCTACCAAACATGGCAGGATTTGAAGGAAGTACTACAGCAGCAAGTCATGGAGGGATTTCAAGAGTATGGAAACAGCAACAGATTACTTCTCTGTTTTAACTCCTTTTCTCTGAAACCTCTGAAGACACATATACACAGGTATGCACACCTACTCCCTCTCCCCATCCCTCTCTGTATATCTGTATTTTCTCTGTAAATAATCTACACATAGTCTGCTTGAATATTAGGAAGTGCAGCAGTCCCACAGTAAACCACGCTGACCAGCACCAGCTCTTCAGCAGAGAATACAAGCTGTCAATACTGCAGAGGGAGATGAAGCATCTCCATGTGCTATATTTTCTTGGCTTTGCTCCTCCAGCATGCCAATCAGCCAGGGGAACAGGAGTGCCAGAGAAAGACTTCGACACAGGCATTGCCATTGTTGCTTGAACACCTAGAGCGCCTGAAGCTCATTGCTCGCAGGAGATGTGCTACCTGGAATCTCTTGTCACTTAACTTGTGGTTAACTCCTGTGAAAATTGAAAATAAGGCACAAAATAAGAACAGTGACTAGAACTGCCAGCTAGAAGGAAGGCTTATCCACCTTCTGGGAAGCCTGAAGTCCAGGGGCAGCCCACAGGAGATGGCTGTTGTACCTAGTGATGCACTGCCTCTTTCCCCTGCCTTCCTCCTGTGCACAGCAAAGGTGAGTGAGGGGGCATGCAGGAACCAAGCTGGTTTGAGCCCACAAATGCCCATAGGGGTTTCCTAGTCTCTAGGGAGGCTGGGGGTTGAAAAAGAGGGAGTCCTTGCCTGGGGCTCTTGGATCCTATGTATGCGGAAGTCTCCATTAGAGGGTGGTGTTGTCTGCAAATGGTCTGCACACCGCCTGTCACCCAACTACCAGCACCAGCTAGTTCTTGTCACATTGGCAGAGAGGATTTTGCCACTGCCTCCCCACTGCCACTCAGAGGAGGAATGGTGTTGCTGTGCTGGAAAGACTCAGCAGCCTGGGAGCCTTTTAGAGACACTCATGAGTACAAGGTGTTGTGGTCTCTAAGCAGCAGTGAGGAGCGGGCTGAGAACAGCCCATCTTTGGTGCCCTGTAGCACAGCTTAGTAGGTCGCAGTCATTTACTGTAAAGCAGTGAAAGATGAAAAGCAAAAATCTGTAAGCTAGATGTACCAAAATAACTACAAAAGAGAAATCTGTGGTTCACTGAAGTAAACGTTTTCCTTAGTTCTCTACCTCCTCCAGAAAAAAGCTGACTGAGCAGAGGAAGGCAAGTCAGGAGATCCAGCCTCCACTGCCAACTCTGTCTATGATGTGGCTTGGGAACTCATGCTCCCTCTCTGAGCCTTCCTTTCTCCATTCACTACAGGACAGAAAGTGTTGCCCCACTAATCTGATACGGGAAATGACAAAAAATTAGTTGTTCATATCTGTAGGGCACTACATCAATTCAACACACTGTTGTAAAGAGAGCCACATTGTCTTTTCGCTGTCTAAACTGCAACAGATCCCTCTGTTCTTATTGCTTCTTCTGTCTCCCCACAGCTCTGCTTCTGCAATCACATGTGCTTTTTCAAAGCACCGGTGCTGGGACGAGGGACAGCGAGCTGCTGGAAGCAGCCTCCCCAAGCCGGATAGAAAGCTCAGGCTCCTACTTGTGCACAGTGGCTAAAACCACGCTGCCTGCCTCGCTCAGGGTGTCAGAAGCAGCGCGGCGCAGACCGAGGGGCTCTGGCCCCCAGCGCTCTCTTCTGCAGCTTTTGTGTCACCCTGTACGAATCACTCGACTGCTCCGTGGGCAGATTCCCTGTCGGACAGTACCTGTTCTCGTGCACAGTTGTGAATTCCGTAGCTAAGTCTTCATGCACGCCAAACGCTTCCCAGAATTTCGTGACGTGCTGTAATATCGTGGAAAAAGGGCTGAAACTTGCTTATTCCTGAAGTCATTTGGGGACAGATGACATGGGCAAAAGCAAGATGGAAAACTGTTTCGGCAGGTTTTCCACTGTAATACAGGATGGTATCTCTTTTTTTCATTAAAAAATTCATTTCCACACCACAAGGGCCCCCAAGCTCCATGATATAACAGGTCCACGAGCTCAGTGCCAGCTCTGCTTCCTCTGCCAAACTTTCCACTGAATTCATCCTCTTGCCAAAGCAAATCGTTTAGACAGTTGTTTATTTTTAAAAGCCGTTTTAGCAAGGAGAGGGAAAGCGGGACAGCAGCGCACACACTCTGCTGTGCTTGCCAACGAAATGTTAAACAGTGGCAGAAGAGCTCTGGAAGCGGCAGGAACAGGGCTCTATGAGAAGGAAAAGCCATGATAAAGATTTTCTGCTGTCTGCTATTGCAGGAGGAGCCAATGCAGAAATGAATTATACCATGTAGCTGTGCAACACGAGCTGGTTTCCCCAGACAAGTCATCTCGAGTTTGTTGTTTTGAAGACTCCAATCCCACACCAAGGCAGTTCAAATAAACGTGTGTTCTCTTTATGGGACAGATTCAGGTCAGATAATGGAAAGAGCCCGGCCAATTTCAGGTAGGCCCAGCCCTCCTCGTGCCTAAGTGCTCTTGTAGGATCTTCCCAGGAGTTTGAAAACGACTCTGGCAGCTCCAAAATTGAGATACAGGTGCTATAAGCATTTCTGATATGTTAGATGCCACCCTGCCCTGAAGCATCTGCAGCTCTAAGCCAGGGTACAACAGCCACATAATGTATTTACCAAATGGCTGCTTGTGACAGCAGGCTGTGGTGCCTGCCCGTGCCCTTTGTAACACGCCTTGTCTTGGCTTCCTCAGTCTCTGTGCTGATCCTTTCCTTATTTATTAGCCACAGTGGCTGACAGAAAATAACGGTCCCCCAAAATGACTGACTGAAGTGCACAGCCTGTAACTGGCACTGGGACTACAGTATTTCTGTGTGCTTCATAGCATTCTGACACTAAAGACTATTTTCTTACAAGAATTTTGGTTTCCCTGCCTTTCTGTTCTTTAAAACAGTTACTATATGTGCTAAGCCTACTAAACGCATGCGCAGAGTCTGAATCTCCACAATTACAAATATAAACACCCTACTTGAGAGGAGCTGTCATGAGAAAGACCAAGGATGAACACTTTTCCAACCCTCCTCATCAGCCTTGCCCAGGCAGTGGCCTTCTTTGTGCCTCTATAGGGAGGCTGAAGTTTGATATTCATCACATGGATGGCAACACCTGACTGAACAGGCTTTGTTCTTCTAGAAAGATCCAAAACATTTTAAAACCAGGTTTGTTATAAAGCAATCACAAAGTTGAACAGTTACGAATCATTCTAGTGATCTAAGTTCATACCTGTCAACATTTAAGTATGTTGTAAAGCTTCATACAGGGCAAATGTCACCTTTTCAAGTAGGAAAATAAAAGTTCATACCATGGGAGGTCACTGTTCCTCTTCCTGGGCATTCTCATTCTTTCCTCACGCGAGACACAGACAAAAAATTTCACAAACAAAATTCAACCCCATTCTATTCTTTCTGATGTGAAAAAGTCATTTTTTCATCTGTTCAAACATGTAAAAGCTGGTGAAGGATTCCAGGGCAAAATTTCACTTTCTCCTGCCCCCACCATCCAGTTTATGGGAAATGGCAGAAAACATTATCCCTTGATCTAATCTATATATTCCGTTATAAAGTGGTATTGAAAGTGAGAAAAACACAAAAAGAACAAGAACCAGCTGTGCTAGGGAGGCTGTTTAAAGAGTCAGTCTAAGTTTTCAATCAGTTCTTAACCAAGCCATCTGTTTACTGCATGAAAATAAGTACAGTTACAAGGCTTCCGCTGCAAACATGGATGCCTGCATCTGGCAAAGTGGCCCTTTAAATTTAAAATACCACTTCATCCCCATGGCCACTAACTGTAAATGGCCCTGTTTAAGCAAAAAGGCCAAAAAAAAAGTACTGCACGGGATTGTGAAAAATATCCTCTACAGAGAAGGTCAGCACCACAACTTGGTAATGGACTGTTTCCATAACTTAAAGGAATAAAGAAATTACTTTTGCTAATACTACAGACATTTAAAAAAATAAAAAACTTCCCTGGTTTGAAAAGATAATACGTATTGTTTTAAATCCCAGCTGAGGAAACATGGCTCTGATTAACTCACGGCAATCAATTAGCCACATCTATATTTAGAAGGATATCCAACTCCAGCTGTTAAAACTAGGGCTTCATTATTATTAATAAATCTGTGAACCAGACCAATTCTTTCTGGGCTCATTAGGATGTTTTGAAAAGTCCTCCCTCTCCCACTACCTTTTTTCAATTTGGTTTGCTTTGAGAAATCAAAAAAGAACAGGATAATCAGATGTCTTGGTCTCTCTCTTCCTTTAATTGGCTAGTTACAGTAGGTTTCCATGGTAAGAAAAAAGCTTGTGATTCAACAAACACAGAGAGCCCATTGAGGTTGGAAGACGTTATAGGTTTTGCAAAGCACATCTGGTTTGTTGAAAATTTCCAGCTTTCTTTTTCCTTTATTTTTTAAGAAAAAAAAGAGGGAAAAGAGGAAGAAGAGAGGGGAAAAATAATATGACCTGAACACAAGAAATAGCTCAGCATTGGTAAGGACAGACAGTTCTGTTTTAGGAGTCCAAAAGCAGTTTTTTGCCAGTGGAAGAGCTAAAGCCATAGGTTGAGCAGAAGTTGAAATGGCATGTGTTCAAATATAGTAAGGGTGTGTGAGGAGAAGGTAGAGAAATGTTTCCTGAGTATGTTACAATCATTAAAATAAAACATCTCTTTATGTCGAGTGTTTTATGTTGGCTATGTCTAAAAAAGTGTGCAACAACTTCCAGACATATTGGTCCATCTGTAGGGAGATTCTCTGATTATTTTTAAAGCAAAAGAATGGCATTTTTTTCTGCAAAGTGCCTGATCAAGAAAAGTTGCATTGCTGTGCTGGACATGTACCACTTGCTGGTTTTTAACCCCTGACTGACCTTGTAAAGAATCTGTATTGGGCTTTTGTCTTAGTGTGCCAAAAGAAAGGACCACCACCATCTGTAACGCCAAACCAAAAGCGGGCAGTCTAAGCCAAGGACAGTGAATTCAGTTCCGAAAATGTGCACCTAACTAAAATGAAGTCGAAAAATTTACCCAGTCATAAAACAGAAGCCCTCAAACCATAGAAAATTGAGCTTTTCTCAATAAATTTGGTGGGGGCACAGAACGTAAAATATTTGGTTTGTGATTATAAAGTCAGTACAGTGTGAACATTATTATGTCGGAAGCAGTTTGAGTCTTCTCAAGCAACATGACAACAATGAAAAAATTAGGCACAATTAGGCTCCACAAAATTTCCTTACAACATTAAGAAGTGTTAGACTGCCCAGCTTTGCTTTCTGAGCACCATAACTGCTACGCCACTGGCATTTGCCAGGGCAGCTAGCTCTAGATGGCAGCCAGTAAACCCTGGTGTTTGCAGCTGCAAATCAGTATTACCAACATTATCTCCACAGCAAGGAAATGCTTTTAAATTACAGAATGACATGAATGCAGAGTGACTGGATGAGTGAGGAGTCTTACTGTTCAGATCCTCAGTTTATATCTTGCCTATCCTTCAAAATCTAAGGCCTACCAACCTAACAGTACAGGTTTCATTAATAATGCAATAGGTCCCTTAACACTGCAAGGACTGACACCAGCAGTGGAAATAATTCAGTCCAAAAGAAATAACGTATTTGCTTCACAAAACAAGAAATTTTAACACGCTAGCTAACAGGGCAGATTTGCCATTACATATAGTTTATTTTAGACCTTGCTCTTCTCTAAACATTTTCATATGCTTATAATCTTTTCATATAAATTATTCCTCATTCAGCTGAGAGACAGAGGGATTAGTGCCAGGCTCCAGTCGTCAGCAAAATACAAGCACCTCCTTAGTTGTACAAATCTGGGAATGGAGGTGTAGACAGTGAAAGGACAAAATGATCACAGCAGCACCTGAAGAGTAACACGCACATGGTGCTGGCTGTGTCAGAAGGATCCGAGAACGTCAAACAAACCACGCATGTTTGGGATTTCTATCCTTGCAATGCAATACAAGCAGTAACAGAGAAGCGTAACTGGAAAAGATCAGGTATCCAGGGTTACCAAACTACTCAGAGGTGCATTTTAAAAGGAAAAAAACCAAAGCAAAAATGTCCTCAGCTGAATAAGCAGAGTGGGATAAAGTCAAAAGCAGAAGGTAAAAGATATGAGGTCACTATCACTAATCACCAAAGGACTTCTTTTTGGGAGACTGCTTAAAATGTGGTGCCACATTCTTTTTGAGACACTGCTTTAAATGTGTGTGCCACCACAGCACCATGTGGCATCCTAGTACAGAAATCATTGCAATTCTATGTCACACATGGATAATGTTAAGAAATATTAGCAAGAAGTGAGCAAGAGCACTAAATTTTCTTTTAATTCTCAATTATATTCTAAATTGCTATAGACCAGATTAGAAAAGTCAGATTCTTCAGCCTAAATCACTTTCAGTGTCTACTATAGTTCTCACTACAGTCCCAGAATCTGAAATTGCTGCTTCCATTTTGATTCAGGCTTTTGACTGAGCCAGTGAAACCTCAAACACTTCCAAAGATATTCATACCTTGTCTCTAGCCTCATTGAGAAGGTCTTCTAACTCCGAGAAGCTGAAACTGGCCACAGTGATGAAATCGCTCATGACAGGAACGAACCTGTCACCTGATTCCCGCATGCGTCTCTTCTGATAATCCAGTTCCTGAAAGAGAAGACATAAGAGATATAGACAGGCAAGCATCAAAGATTCCTCGCTGACAAGGAAGGGAGGAGGGAAGCTCATGTATTTCACTTAGTGCAGAGCATGCTGCACACATTGCACTCTGCACACATTCGTTCAGAGCTGTAACTCCAAAACCACTTTCTCACTAAGTCCAAGATTTTGTCTTTTCAGCATGAAAAGGAAGGTTAAGGTGGGGTGAAGGAAGGTCTTAGTTACAGTTCCCTATATCCTCAAACAACAGCCACTCCCAAGAAAGCCATCAACATGTTGAATTTCTAAAGCAACTTTATAATTTAAGCATCAAGTACATGAAAGAGTGACAAATAATTGAGAATTTGGATTGTGTAGCAAGTGATTTTGGAATTTCTAATAGTGGGTTTCCCTCCATCTTCTCTTTCCATGGTGGCTCAAAAGGCTGTATACTTGGGAAAATGTGTACATCTGCAAAATATCTATATAGTTCCTGGCTTTGGATCTTCCCCTTAGGTCTCTGAAAAGCACTAGATGGGCAGCAAAAAGATGTAAAAACTTGTTCTCCCACTGAAGAATGAGCAGAAGGATATCAGGTACATTTGCCAGCACTCTGCTAACCAATAAGGCTTAGCTTGGATGTCATAAAAGCCACAACTATAAACTGAAGCTATTGCGACAAGAAGATTCGGGGGGGAAGGGGGGTGGAGAAGAGAAAAAAAAAAAAAAGAAACTAAGATCTATTTGTCCGCTACCTACAGAAAGGGAAAACAAATTGTAAAATTCTTTCTTTCTGGCTCAAATTTTTTAGTTTTAGGCCAAGATTACCCATGCTCTCTCTTCCCTTACTCTATTCACCATGCTTGTGGCACTGAAAGAGCTACAGAACTCCTCAAAACGACTAAGTTATAGAAAGACTGGCAGTCTCTCATGCCTGTGCTTGGCTTGTGTGCAGTTTGACAGTCTCGTGGGGACAATGAAATGGTAATCTAGGCCTCATTTTTATTCCCAGCTGAATAATCACTGGGAATGATAAAGCCTTACTCTCTGTAGGGAAAAAAAAAAAACAGCAGGTCAAGTTATGATCTGACCCTCTGTTCCCATTGGAAAAAAATATTTTTGTGCTGGCTGCAACTCCAGCTACATGCATGTTTGGTGCTCTCTGTTACTGGTCAATTTTCAAAATACTGGTTCACAGAGCCAGTAGGGTAGGTTTATAAGCACATACGCTGAGAAACTCCTTGGGATTTGCTCCACAGCACTGCTGAATGCAAAGAATGACTTTGGCCATCAACAATCTAAAATCACATGTGATATATCTCCTGGTCTGATGTGAGTTGGAAACAGACTGTAACCACTACAAGGGAAGACCATAAGGCAGAAAAGGGGCAGGAAAAGCAATGAGCAGGTGGCTGGAGAAAAGTCCACATTAAAGAAGTGCTACTTCCCCTGCTTTATATTACATCCTCTTCTCCACTGGTTTTCCTAAGACATCACAAGGGACGGTCCTGGGAGCGCTACTCAATTACATCACTTTGCAATGAATTGTCTCTGGTACAGTCACTTTGAATTGGACCTTACAAGTACAGGAAACATC